CGACGAGGCGCAGCCGCTGGAAGGCATCCCGAGGCTGGTGAGCCGCAGAGAATCGACGAAAACCACCGAGAACGCCAAACCTCGAACCCAGAAACGAGAACTCCCGAACACGTGCCCCCCATGCCAATCACGCCCCCCCTATTCCAATCCCCTGTGTCGTTGCCCCTGACAGGCGTCGCTCGAGGCTGGTCTGGTTCACGCCGCCGCCGGCCCTCAAGCTTGGAACGCCCGCGCCCACGTCACGGTGCTCGGCTTAGGTCGGGCGTGTCCTCCTACAGGCGGAACTTGGACGAAACATAAAATTAGCAAAAAAATACCCAGAAATATCCAAAAATACTCAGAAAATCGTCCCCTGCCTATTTGATTGCAGTGTTTGAACATTGCTCCTGTAGAGGGACAGGCCCGACTTAAAATGCTCGGCAGAACGCGGCACGGACCTGCCGTGCCCCCGGTGAGGCGTCGCGGGGGCCACGATGCTAGCCACGGCGCGCGCCAACACGGTGAGGGCGTCTTGTACGACGACATCAAGTCGGGCGTGTCCCCCTACAGGCGGAGCTTGGACGAAAAATAAGACATACCCCAAAAAAGCTCCCAACAAATACTTGGGAATGGTCAGAGAATCGTCCCCGGGAAATGTCTCGACTATGTTTGATTATTCCTCCTGTAGAGGGACGGGCCCGATTTAACACGACACGAAAGCAACGTGTCTACAAGCACCATCCACTGCGCGACGGGGATCACGAACTGACGGGCGGAGGAGAACATCCCGCACACGACACCGCAGCCCCGTGCACAGCATTGTGCGGGGGGTTGGCCGGTGAGGGCGTTGAACAAGCAGCCATGTATGTGGCGACCCCCACTCCCTATCCTCACCAACCATCGCTTCTCCTGAAACGATGGGAGGCGGGGGTAGGAATCGGATTTCGCAACGTGTTCGACGAATTCCGATGCCCACCCCCGCCGCCCATCGAGATACCTGGATTGTTGATCGGCGAGGGTCAGATTTCGATGACGGCCATTGGACATGGAATCCAGGGTCTGGAAGCCAATGGAACGCGTCCACGTCGCGACAGGGTCGACGCGGCGCGGAGCTGGCGTACCCCCAGTGGGGTTACGCAGGGGCCACGATCCCAGCCACGGCGTGGCGCCAATACGTGCGGGACGCAGAAAGAAAGACCACAGGCTCTGCAGCACTGTCTGCCTCTGTCGGAGACGTACGCCTGACCCAAACAGATAGTGCGAAACCTGGATTGTTTCACATCAGAGTCATTCGATAACAAATCATCAAGCCGTTGACCGCCTGGATCGCGGATTGCATGGTGGAGTATGATCATGTATGTGTGTGTGTGTGTGTCTGGTTCATGTGTTGCATTTTTGCCCGTTGGTTCTGTCTGACTGCGTGCGCGCGTGCGTGCCAGCATGCATGCCTCGGCGGCGACGATAGGGGCGAACAGCCCAGGGGCGGGCACTACACGCATTCGCCCAGGAGCCTTCTCTAAGACATAGATCATCGGCGCACCTGAATACCTGAATACGTGGATTGCTCTCCCCTGGGCTATTCTCGGGAGCGGCCAAGAGGGGGGCCTCCAAGAAGGGGGGTGCAAATCGTGGCTGGCGGAACGTGCTGCGGCCCAGGGGGGGGGCCAGGGACGCAATGAAATAAGAAGAGGCGCGCATGACATCTGGGGAAATATCATGGCCCACGCCCTGATAGCCCCCTCCCCTGGTCATCACCCCCCTCTTTGCCGCCCCCGAAGGGAGGAGGAGGAGGAGGAGGAGGAGGAGGAGGAGGAGCTAGGAGGAGGAGGAGGAGTGTTTCGCTCCGGTCGTCGCCCCTGCATTGCCTGCGCGTGTACATCACCTCTCTCGGGGCGCACGGCCCGAAGGCTCCCGCCAGGGCCTGCACCACACACGGAAAGAGGCCCTCCTCTCCTCCTCCTCCTCCTCCTCCTCCTCCTCCTCCCTCCTCCCTCCTCCCTCCTTCCCCGCCTCCCTCCACCTCCTCCTCCTCCTCCTCCTCCTCCTCCTCCTCCTCCTCCTCCTCCCCAGCCTGCGCGCCTGCCCCGGCGGGGCCGCCGCGCACGACCGAGGGGGCCCACGGACACGCAAAGAGATGCACACGAACAAGGGGACTCCCCATACTCTTCCATGTGCGCTGGAGGGGTGTCTTCCCCCCCACTGCCCAGGTCTTCCCATGCTCTCTGGGGAGCCGGCGGCGAGCACACGGGGCGGGGGAGGGAGAAGGGGCGTCCCCGACGACTCCAAGAGCACCGCACCCGGAGCCCCCCGGATCGGCGGCACGGGCCGGAGGCCATCACAATATGCCTGGGTGGTGCCGAGGGTGGCTCGCTCCAGAGGCTCCGAGCCGGGAGTCGGCGGCGAGACCGGTGGGGGGGAAAGGGAGAAGGGGCGGGCCTTCCCGGGAGGCTCGGAAGCCCCCGGGCCTCCTGAGAAATGGTCCCGACCGAGCCTTCCCCGGAGGCGCAGGAAGCTCCCCAGAAGGCGCGCGAGGGCTTCCCGAGAAGCCCGCGCGCGCTTCTAAGAGGGCCTTCTCCTCCCCGCTTCCCCCCTGGCCCGCCGCCGCTCCTCCTCCTCCTCCTCCTCACACCCCTCCTCCTCCTCCTCCTCCTCCACCCCCCACCTCACCCCTCCTCCTCCTACCTCCTCCACCCCTCCTCCTCCCCCTCCTCCTCCTCATCCTGTAAAAAAAAAACAAAAAAACAAAAAAAAACAAAAAAAAAAAAAAAAAAAAAAGCCTGGCACCCCTTGGAGGGGCGAGGCGTGCTGCCGCCGGCCTTCCTCCGGCGGAGGCGCCCTCGCTCTGCCTCTCCGCCGCCCTCCGCCGGCGAAGAGGCGTCGCCTCCCCGGGGCCCCTCGGAGGCGAAGCCCTCTCTTGAGAGTCCAGGGGTGGGCCCCCAAGACCCCTCCCAGACCCCCTCGAGCAGTGAGAAAATCACGACGGGAGGTGTTTCACGATTTTCAGCCTCCGGAGGCCCTCACCGGGCCTCGGGAGCGTCAAAAAACGACTCAGGATGACAAGCCGGTCCTGGGGAAGGGGTCGAGAACGCTGGGGTCGACGTATTGAAAAATTCATTACGTCGGGGGTCTGGGCTCTCAGAAGCCCGTCAGCTCTGGGTTGCGATTGGTCTCCCCTCGGTCCTTCACCATCAGGAAGTCGGCGTCGTCCCAGTCGCCCCCGCTTTCGGGCCTCTCTGGAGGGACTCGGCGGCAGGAGGAAGAGCAAGAGCAGGAGGGGGAGAAGAGGGAGGGAAGAGGAGAAGAAGGAGGATGAGGAGGTGGAAGAGGAGGTGGAGGAGGAACGGATCTCGACGACCGCGCCTGTGCCCGATCAAGATGTTGTTTGCACAGTTTCGCTAACGTGCCCGTCAAAGGGTGCGGTGGACTCATGGGGGAGAACGGGGATTCGGGTTCTGGATAAACTGCTGGCCACGAATCCATGGCGTTCCAAAACCACAACATCAGCTAAAAACCTGCACCTGTTATCCCAGCAGGGAGCGAAGAGGAGGAGCTAAAGTAGGGTGACGCGCTGGAGGTCGATTCCATAGACGACAGCTAAAGCTACCTGCTGGATTTCCGAAGTCAAAGCGCGAAGGGCACCCGTCGGGCGAATCGGCACCGACGTGGCGCGGTTCAGTCCCGCCCCCCTTGACCTCCCGAGCCCCTGGCGTTTCCCTTCTCCCGGTCGCCCAGTGCATCTCGGCTTTCTAGTTCTGACCAGCGACCCAGGGTCGGATTTCGCTGCGCCGTGCCGTACCTTTCAACTGCTACTGCTTAATTGCATGTAATCGCCCGTGATGACGCGTCAGGGCTCGTTACCTTGCACTTTGTCCGAAGGCCCTCTGGAAGCGTCGGGAGGCTTCCGGAAATCCCAAAATGGAAAACGAAGGGGAGGATGAGAGAACGTGGGGGGGTGGCTGAGGGCAACCGTGCACTGGCGGAGGAGAAAACATGATGCTGGAGGATGGAGGACTCCAGAAGATTGAAGAGGATTCAGGAAGACACAAAAAAAGAGGAGAAGGGGGGAGGATGAGGAGGAGAAGGCCCAGAGCAAACCCAAGATGAATCAACAATGCGGCAATAAACCCGTCCGTCCCAAGTCCCGTCCTCATCAATCCCGACAAACATTCTTTTTTACATCGCGGGAAACGCCCGCTTTGACAAACGCGATCCGAAGGCCGGCCATTCTGGCGAGCATCCTCCCGCTCATGTACTAGAAACTACTTCAAAAAAGGGGCGGCAAACCCAACGACATGTTCAACCGCATCTCCGTTTTGAACTGGGTTTGCTCTTCAACCGTATAAACGGTGCATAGTGTCACAGCTCTTGCCGCACACATCTAGGAAGTCTCCGGAGAAATTACGATGTTCAAAAGAGCCGACCCTCTCGCGTGCAAGTGCTTCACAAGTCTGAACATGCAAGCCTAGAGAAATTCCCAAGCGGAGGCTCCATGCTAAAAACGGGCCGCCCTCACTGCGCGTACCGATCGCAAGCTTTGAAAAATAATGTGCGCGGTGCCAACGCGTGAGCACCATATTGAAAACGGCCCGATCTTCATCCACGTAGCTGCTGGAATGCTGTAACACGAGCGCAATGCTACAACGAAAACCTCGTTGTGAAAACCACGAGTGCTCCATCCGTGTAACTGCTTGAAATCTCTACACGTCGTTCATTTCTAATCGTGCTCATTTCTTATTGTGTTCGTTTCTAATTGTGCCTGGCCCCCTAGTGGCCAGGAAGAGGCCCAGGATGGAACGATTAGAAATGAAAGGATCTTGGTCCCCAAAAAAGTCAAAGAACTTTCGAAGCATTAGAACTCAACAATGTGTAGCTTCGAGATTACCGAATGTTAAACAGCCTGAAGCGGCGAAGCGCCCTGCCCGCCCGAATGGCGCGTTTGGTGGCGCGGCAGGGAGAAGTTATCCACAAGGACAAGGGATGAGGGATTGGAGGAGGAGGAGGAGGAGGAGGAGGAGGGACATAGGGAGGATAGGCTGGGGGAGCATAGGAGATTGTGTGCGAGACAACGGAAGGTGGAGACTTGTGAAGATAAGAAGGGAGCCAAGGACACACGAGCCAGCCGAAGCATTCTGCACCAAGCAGAACAGCTTAGGAGGCCTGGTCCACAACACCTTGCGGGCGCAGAGCCCATCCCTCGCGGGCGCCGAGAGCGGCGGCCTGGTCCCCCCCGCCGTTTCAGACTGAGCTTCGGGCTCGGCCGCCGTTCGGGCCGAAACCGATTCTTTCGTGGGCCTATCGGCGAGGAGGAGGAGAAGGAGAAGGAAGAGGAGGAGGAGGAGGAGGACGTGGAGGAAGAGAGAGGAGGAGGAGGATGGGAGGTTTAGAGGAATGAAGAGGGGAGGCGGGGAGGAGGAGGAGGAAGGATGGGGAGGAAGGAGGGAGGAGGAGCAGAACGAGGAGAGGAATGAGGAAGGATTAAGGAGGAGGAGGAGGAGGAGGGGGGGGGGGGTGGGATCACGGGGATAGAGGGGAAAAAGGAGGTGGGGGGAAGAGGAGGGGAGGAGGAGGAGGAGAAGAGGAGGAGGAGGAGGAGGAGGAGGAGGAGGAGGGGGAGGAGGAGGAAGAGGGGGAGGAGGACGGGGAGGAGGAGGAGGAGAGCCGGGGCGCCTCGCCACTGCCCGAGGGAAAGACGCGCAGCCTCGAGCCGGCGGGGCGGCTCCGGGCCTGGAGAGCGCCCGGCCGCGCCGGGGCAGCGCAGCCCCTCGCGCGGCGCCGGGCGGGACGGCGGACGGGCAGACTCCTGCACGCGTCGGCCGACGTACAGTCGGGGCGTTGTCCCAAGGAACCCTAATGGAGGAACGAGGCCCCTTTGTTCCATGAGTAGAACCCCGATTTGCCATGGGAAACCTCAGGAAAACCTGGGGCGAGCTGCAAAGCAACTAGGGAGCACGGAGCCCCTCCCAAACGAAAAGGGTTCCGTCTTCAGCGCCCCGACTGAACCGAACTTTGGGTGAAACCGACCCCTGGTCAAGCGGAAGGTGGATTCGGGAGGCTGGACCGGTGCGCCGTTCCTGCCCTGCGCGCTGCGGGGTGGCGGAGCCCGGGGGCAGGGAGCGCGCCAATGGGAAGCGAGGAGCTAGAAACGAAGAGAAGAGGGGGTGCGCAGGAGGGGATGGGTGACGTGTGGGGATGAAGGAGAAGTGAGCGGGGAGGGACGAGGGAGAGGAGGAGTAGGAGGAGGAGGAAGAAGAGGAGGAAGAGGAGGAGAAGGAGGAAGAGGAGGAGGAGGAGGAGGATAAGGAAGAGGAGGGAGGGAGGAGGAGGGACGAGATGGAATAGGAGGAGGAAGGAGGAGGAGGAGTGAGGAGGAAGTGAAGGCGAGAAGAAGGAGGAGGAGGCGGTAGAAGGTGGAAGGAGGGGGAGGAAGAGGAGGAGAGGAGGAGCAGGAGGAGGAGGAAAGAGGAGGATGCGGAGGAGGACGAGGAGGAGGAGGAAGAGGAAAAGGAGGAGGAGGAGGAGGAGCAGGAGCAGGAGCAGGAGCAGGAGCAGGAGCAGCAGGAGGAAGAGTACGAGAAGGATGAGGAGGAAGAGGAAGAGGAGGAATAGGAGGAGGAGGAGGAGGAGGAGAAGGAGGAGGAGGAAGCAGAGGAGAAGGAGGAGGAGGAGGAGGAGGAGGAGGAGAGGAGGCAGAGAGGAGGGAGGAAAAGGAAGAAGAAAGGAGGAGGAGGTGTAGGAGGAAGAAAGGATGGAGGACGCCTGATGTCCTCCTTCGAGGCCCACGCGCCCATGCGGATCTCGGCGGGCTTCTGTCCCCCCTCGCTCTGCCACTCGCCGCCCTGGCTGCCCCACTGGGCCTCCTGCTGCTCGCCGCGATCGCCGGCCTCAGGGATGAGGGGGAGGAGGAGGAGGAGGAGGAGGAGGAGGAGGAGGAGGAGGAGGAGGAAGAGGAGAAGGAGGAGAAGGAGGAGGAGGACGAATTTGGATGATGAGGAAGCTACGAGACGAAACCGCGCAGAGGGACAGCGACAGGGCGCGCTCAGGCAACGCCCTCGCCCGCGTCGCTGCCCTTGCCGCCGCCGTGCACCTGCGACGCCGCCTGCACGCTGAGGCGGCCCTGGCCCTCGCGAGGCGCCGCCGCTCCAGGCCGCGGCCTGCGGCGCACCGCCCGAGCCCAGCCCAGCGCGGGCGGCAGCCCCGCAGGCGCCGCCAGCCAATTGCGGAGGCAGCGCACCTCGTACCTCCGCATGCTGTGACGCACCGCCGGCTCACTGTGAGGCCCGAGGGATACCTGGGTTAGGCACCACGCCTCCGCCAACTGCTGAGCCGTGCTGCCCATCGCCCTGAGGAAACGCCGCCACCTGGGCTGGGCAAGGACCGCCTCCGCGTACGGGACGCAGTGGTCGAGCCAGTCGCCGGCCGCACCGTCGGCGTCGAGCAGCGGCTCGATCCACCACCGCCCCCAGCGGTCCGGCCTGCGCTCCACGGCCCGCGGCCGCGGCAACCGTTGCGGCAGGGCCGCCCTGGGCGGCGGCCTCGCCACGCGGATGCCGCGCCGCCGCAGCCGCGCAGCAAAGCCCGCAGGCGCCTCCCTGGGGGCCGCCCCAGCGCCACAGCAGAGCCGCTCAGCCCGCGCCTGGAGCCGCTGCAGCAGCGCCTGCCCCCCCACTGCCCATGACTCGGCGCGCACACCAACAGCGCACCCCCCGTCGGTCAACGCCTCCACGACCTGCGCCGTGGGAACACTGCCAGCCCCACCAGCGGCAACGCCCGCCAGACCAGCCTCGCGAGCCGCAACGCGCCGCCGCAGCACCTCCAGCCGTTCCTGCCAGGACGGCGCTGGCGCCGCGCAAGCGCTGCGGCGCGCCGCGACCTCCGCAAGCAGGCGGCTGGCCTCCGTGCGCCCACCTCTCGGCGGTACAAGAGCCCCGCGCGTCGCGGTCCCCTGCACGTCCGCCAGCGGGGCCTCCTCCGCGCGCCCGCCTCGCAGCTCTGCGGGAGCCCCGCGTATCGCGGTATCCTGCACACCCGCCTTCAGGGTCTCCTCCGCGCGCCCGCCACACGGCGCCGCGGGAGACCCGCACGTCGCGGCCCCCTGCACGTCCGCCAGCGGGGCTCCCCCATAGCCATGGGCCACGACCGCCTCGGCGGTGCCCTCCCCGGAGCTGTCGCCGACCGAACTGCTCTCGTCGTGTACCAGCGGACCCGTAGCCCATGATCTGCCCGTGTCGGGATTCAGACCACGCAGCAGCCTGTCCCTCCTGGCCGACAGGCTGCTGACGTAGGTGCGCCGGTGGTGCCCCTTGTCGGTGGGCGGCCCGCAAAACGCCTTCTGCAGCCCGCTCGCCGCTCTGGTCTGCATCCATGCGACGCAGACCTCGCAGAAGATGGCGGGCCCCGCGCGCCGCAGCCGATGCCCGAAGTGCAGCACCGCGCCACCGCCGCCCCCCTCGCAAAACCAAGAGTTCGGCCTCTGCGCCAGCATGCAGGGCCTGCCACCGTCGCACTGCTGCCGCGCCTCAGCATCCAGGCCCTCGGCGTCGCCCATCCAGTATGGCCCCGCACCGAAATGCGCCACCTCAGCCGCCGCCTCGAGGCGTGCCAGCGGCGTCGGCAAACAGATCGACCTGAAAAACTGCTGCGCCGCCGCTCCTGTCTCAGCACGGGATCGGCGCCCGCACTCTGTGCACAACATTCCGCGCTTTCCCTGCACGCGCACCAGGGAGTGCTCCACCGACGTCAGCTTCGGCGCGGGCGGCGGCGGCGCCGCGGGCACGTAGCGCGCCTCGGGGGCCCAGTCCCCGATGGCCCACCCGATGGAATCCGCCACCTGCTTGAAGTACTGCACCTCGATGGCGTAGAAATCCGCGTGCACCTGGGACACCGCGCGCTGCAAAGCCCCCTGCTTGGCAAACCAGCCCGCCCGAAGGTTGCCCGCGCACAACACTGGGCGAAGCCCCGCCGCCAGGCACCCGTCGGCGTCCTGGCGGGCGGGGACCCAGAACACCTCGGGGCGGCATGGCTGCTGCCGCAGGTGCCTCCACACCGTGGCGTGCACCGACTTGGCTCGCTCCAGCTCTGGACCCCAGCTGCTAGCCTCCTGGGCCAGCGCCAGCAGGCCAGTGGCCACGAAACGCGCCTGCTGCCCCAGGAGCTCGGTGACCTGCAGGAGCGCGCGTCGCTCGGCGCGACCCACAGTCTGCAGGCGGCCAGGAAGGGCCCCGAAGGCCGCGCGAACGGGCGCCCCGTTGGAGCCGAGCTGGACCAGCGACCACCCGCAGCGCCTCAGCTCGGGCATGCTGCTCGCGAAGCCCGAGCACTCGGTGAACGCAATGTTCCCGCGCTGCTCGTCGCTCGTGCCGCTCCAGTCACCCCAGAGCCTCGCCTCCGCCTCGTCGGCCGCAGGCGGCACGCGCGGCGGCAGCAAACATAGCCCGACCTCATGCTCGAAACCGCTGAAGTCCGCGACCCCCACGCCGCCTGCCTGCAGGCCCTTGTCGCGCATAGTAATCCATACCTGCTGCAGTCGGTCAGGGAGGACGTCCTGCTCCACCGACGGCCTATTCGCAACGAAACATGCCGCGCCAAGCTCGCTGCCTCCAGGGGGGCTAGCCTGGCGCGCGCGCAGCAAGGCCTCACATTCGCACAGCCTGTGACCAAGGGCGTCCGCCTCCGCTCCGCACGGCAGACAGCTGCCATCGGGAGCGACCCCAACGCCTAGCTGCCCCTGCCTGGTCCACGGCGTGCCTGCCCAGTGGATCCTGAGGCTGGCGGCGGCAGGCCCTTCGGCAACAGCAGCACCCTTGCCACCCACGCACAGCCCCAGGACCCGCATCCAGATCGGCCCCGTGGGCTGCGCGCCGCCGAAGTGGCTCAGGATCTGTCGCCCTGGCCAACGGCTGACCCCCTCGACGAGGTAAGCCTTGAGGTCCGACGGCGAGGTGGCGAACAGGTTGATGTTCTGCTCCTCGTCAGTGACCAGCACCACGCTAGACCACACGTACCAGCCGATCCTCCAGAGCGTGAGCGTCGTCGAGGCGATCGGGCCGCGCGCCAGTCCCCACGTCGGTTCCTCGACCAGCCGCTGCGTGATGGAGAACCACGCACGCTGAAGCCTGCCCAACGATGTCCTCTGCACGCAGACCCAGCTGGAGTACCTGACCACGAGCGCCACCGTCGCCTCGGACTGGATCAAGCCTCGCGCTGCGCTGCGTGGCCAGGTAGATCGTCGCGCCCGACGGGCCCGGCCGCGCCCCCGCCAGCCGGCTGACCTCAGCCCGCAGTCGCTGCAACTCATCGTCGGAGATGGGCAGCCCCGTGCGCCACAGCACGGTGACCTTGCGGCCAGCAGCACGCTTCAAAGCCACCAGACGCCCGCGCCGCCGCGCCAGCGCCTACAGCCGCAGCTTGGTCTGCCGTCGCTGGATCCTGCCTCCTCCAAGGTCATGCCCTAGATTGCGAGCCCAGTGTAGCAGCTGTAAGCCGCGGGATCCCGCATGCTTCCTGCACTCTGCGGCTAGGCCCTTGGACGAGGTCACGTAGCCAGACTTGGCGGGCTGCACGATGATGCCCAGTTGCTTGGCCTCCTCGCGGAAGCGCGTGACCGCGGCCCACAAGACGCCGAGGTTGCTGCCCGCGGTCCTGACCCACTGAAGGGCGACGTCGTCTACGAGGGCCCTGGGAGTGACACCCACGCAGCGCACCCGCTCCAGCACGCGGCGCATCAGCACCGACACGAGCGCGCACGCGTGGGCGCATCCAGCCAGCACCCCTTGGTAGGACACAACTTCGTAGGACACCGAGCCGAACGCTTCCAGTCGCCTGGGCTGCCCGTGGAGCTCCACCAAAAGCCAGACCAGCTGCAGCGGCATCTTGAGCTGCCGCGCCTCCTGTATCAGGGCCTCGGGGATCACCGTCTCAAAGAACTTCCAGGCGTCTAGGAGCACGGTGCCCACCTCCTCCTCCAACGCGACCGCCACCTCGGTCGCGAGGTCCAGGTCGAATGCTGCATCAGATGACGACCTGCCCGCGCCGAGCCCCCAGACGTCGACGCCGGAGTGCTGCGCGAGCCAGCCCTTGGAGATGTCCGCCCGCGCCCTCGACCACCAGCGCACCGAATAATGCATGAGCGCGATGAAGCGGCACCCTCAAGTGGGCTTGGCCAGCCGACACACGGCGTGCCACGCGCCCAACTTCTCCATCTGCATGAAGAGCTGCGCGCCAACATACATGCCGTCCTCGGACAAGAAAGATAGGGCACGCATGCCAATCTTAGCGGGCCCCATCGCCTTGCCCGCGGGAAATGAGAGCGCAGCCCTCTTCATCTTGTCGACGGTGAGTTCGGACAGCGCATCCCACTCCTCAATGTCCGCAAGCCTGCAAGCCTGCGGCAGCCCATGGCACCGCCACACCTTTGCCACCGGCTGCATCTCCCGATCGCACACCAGGTGCGGGCTCGCGTCCTGCTGCTGGCTGTGCCAGGCAGCGACCACCTCATGCAAGTCCTTGACCTTGGAGCACCGATGGGCGCGGCCAGCTCCGTGGGAAAATGACTCGTTGGCCCACTTGACCCACTCCTTGTGCTGCGCCGCGAGGGCCGCTTCGTACTGACCGCTAGCGTACTCCACGACCCCCGACGCCTGGCCCGCAAAGCCGGCCTGCGCGAGCATCAGCATCCGCTGGCCGAAGAAGCCCTGCACCCAGTGCAGCAGGAGCGCGAGCGCGCCGCGGCTGCCGATGATCTTGTCGAGGTACGCCGCCGCCTCCAGCAGAAACCCCGCCAGCTTGTCAAACTGGGCCTCGAACAGCGGGCAGAGGAGGCGGGCGCCGCGGAGTTGGCGGACCGCTTTGGCGACGCACGCCCCGACCCCCATCAAGTGCCGAG